ATTTGAAATTACAGAATAAACTTAATTTGCTATTTGTACCTTGGTATGATGGAAAAATTTCTCTCAGATGGCTGAATCACTATCTCTGTCATATAAAACTTGATGGTTTCTAGAAACAAAAAATAAGAAAATTAAAAATCTCACCAATACAATATTTTTACTGTGGGCATGTTGGTTCCAAATTATGATATTCAAACTAAATATTTGATATACTGGTAAAATCAACAATCAGTATAACTTTTAAAAAAATGACTTAGTTTATGAAGACAAAGCACTTATGACTAAAAAGAAATACTCCTGAGACTTCAGATATCTCAGTGTCATTTCAGAAGAGCATGCCCCAAGTGAATCTGGTACAGCAAGACTCTGATCACACATATAGAGGATTATAACAGTTAGCACATCATAGCTACAGCTTACTTATCTAGAAATCAGTCATTTGGTTTCCTCATTTCTATACAGTAGCCACAAACCTGGAAGTCATTGAAAAAGGCTTTTTAGTCATAGTATCCTAAAGCTCTTGCACAGATGCTGTGAACCTTACATTACTACTTACCCAGAATTTCACTGAGTCTATAAATGTACAATTTTCACCAAATTTGGTTATCTGATTACCTAGTTTACAGAAAAAGTTAAACAGTAAACTAAACACCTAATAGAAATAAATATAAACACGACCATTTTGGAGTTTTACAAAATCCATGAAAAATGTTTGTTCTCACTAGTAATAAAGGAAATGCAAATTAAAATGAGATTTTTTAAATATGAAATAAATAAAATAATTTTAATTAAGTGCAGCTCTGATAAAGACATGAAGAAATGGATACACATTCACATATGGCAGTCAGAATTGAAAATGATAGATTTCTTGAAAACCACTTGGCGAAGACCTTAAAATTGTGTATATATTTTGACACTATAAACATCTAAGAATTTATCTCAAAGAAATACTCATAGATATCTGCAAAAATTTGTCTATAAAGATGTTCATAATAATACTAATAGAAAAATACTGAAAACAAGTTAAATGTCTAAAATTTGAGGACAATTGGATTAAATAAACAATTGTACATTTATTTAGGGAAGAGAATTCTACACAGTCATTAAAAATAATGTACCAAATAATTTTTTTAAATAGGTAAATTGAGCAGTTTACATTTATTGATATGACATGTTTGATCTTCACTCTGACATTTTTTATTATTGTTTTTTGAATTTATATTGTCTTCCTAAATTTTTTTAAATAATTTTTTATTTTTCAATTACAGTTGACGTACAATATTACAGTAGTTTCAGGTGTATAACATAGTGATTAGAAACTTATATAATTTACAAAGTGGTCACCCTGATAAATCTAGTACCCATCTAACATGATACATAGTTATTACACTATTATTGACTATACTCCTCATGCTATACCTTGCATCCACGTAACTATTTTATAACTACCAAATAATTTTTAATTGGTTTCATAAGATGGGAAGTTACTCCTAATATTTTCTGAAAATGTATCTAGAGCCATGATGATGAATTTATCTATTGCTTCTTGAAGTTCAACTTTCATTTTACTATTTTGAAGTCATGTTATTAGATACAGAATTGAACCTTTTAACATTATGAAGTGATCACTTTTATCCCAGCTATTTAGTGGTGACACATATTCACCCATTTATTTACTACTTTCTTTACCAATCCTTCTTGAACTTAGATCTTCTATTTGAGATCATTTTCTTCTACCTGATATGATATAGAGGTAAAATTTCTTTTAATAAGAAATCAACCACTAGAGAAGAATTATCTCAGTTTTTGTCATAAAATATATGTATCTTTATCTTGATTCTTTCATACAGGACATTTTCACCTGATATAAAATCCTAGGTTGACCTCTGTATACACTGACACTATCATTCCACTGCATTCAAAATTCCATTACTGCTATTCCTTTGAAAGTGATCTGTCATTTTTCTTTGGTTGCTTTTAAGATTTTCTCTTTTTTTCTTTTTCACTTTTCCTGCAGTATCACTGATGTGCCTACCTATAGATTTCCTTTTTATCTTACTTGGGCCTCATTTGATTAGAATTCACTGGATCTCTTGAATTGTTGTTCATCACTTCCATAAAATTCTTAGCAATTATCTCTTCAAATATTGCCTATGTTCCATTCTATTTTCTTTTCCTTCTATAAGTCTGATTAAACACATGTTAGATCTTCTTGGTGTGTTTTATGTCTCTTTCTCTTCTATATTTTTTGTCTTGTCTCTCTGTGCTGGATTACAGATTATTCTTCTCATCTATCTTCTGTTCATTAATTCTTTCTCCCAGTTGGACCTAGTCTGTCATTAAACCACCCACTGAATTCTAAATTTCAATTATAATACATTTTAAAAAATTCTGGGGGGTAGCTCCAGAGTGTAGTGGTTAGTACATCTGCTTTACGCGCAGAAGGTCCTGGGTTCCCACCCCAGGTGGAGCTATGGTCCATACCCTGGGTGCGCTAGGTCCCCGGTGCGCCAGGCCGCAGGTACTCGCCGCCAGCATGTGGGAGGAGATGCTCCACCTTCAGAGATCCAGTTCTTAAAAAAAATAAGGGAGACGGCAACATTCGTAGGTCAGGGGTGGAAGTAGGGAGGGGTAATCAAAAAGAGAGGGAAAAAAAATTCTACTGTGGATATTTCCAAATATTTTTATAGTTTCCTTTTCCTGTCAATACATTTAAACAGCTAGTTTCCTTTTTCTTTTGATACATCTGAATCTGTCTTTAATTGTTAAATATAGTAAACATGATAATTTTACAGTTTACATCTGGTAATTCTAATAAAAGAAGTCTGTTTCTTTTTGCTGTTTTTGTTAGTTCTTATTGATGAAAATCTAGTTTATTTGTTCGCTTATTTACCTTTGGTTGTATGGTAAACGCTATACTTGACGAATTATTTGGAGGAATAATATGAGTTTCACAATGAAGGTATTTTCCTCCAGAAGTGAAATGCTTTTGATATTGCCAGATGCATTGTGTTATGTCTATTACAAGGTAGACTAACCAAGTTCAAGACTTGAAATTCCCTAAAGTCTCAAAGGATTAATACCTATCTATAATTCTACAGGGCTAATCTACTTCTGATTCACCTTCACTGTGAGGGTATGGCTCTTTAGGGTGTCATTTTTTGTAGACAGTCACCTACTAGGTTCCCATCTTGTGTAGTCTTTGATTTCTGTTCTTACTTATCAAGGCAATCAGAATAAAAGTTCTAATTTTAGAGAACTGGCAAATTGCAGGGGAAAAGTGGTTTATTTTTTGTGCTAAACTCTCGAGTATGCTTTTGTGATACTTTACTCACATATTTTCCATTTATCTTGCTCTTCATTCCTTCCTGTGGATTCCAGTTACCATCTGGAATCCTTCACTTTAGCCTGAAGAATTTTCTTTAGCAGTTTTTGTAGAGAATATTTGCTAGGAATGCATTATTTTCATTTATTTATATGAACAATCCTTATTTTGCCTTCATTTTTTGAAGGATAGTTTTGCTGAATATAAAACTGTTAGTTGACAGTATTCTCCCTCACCCACCCAGTACATTTAATATCTCATTTTAGTGTCTTCTGGCTGTCATTATTTCTATAAGAAACAAGTCTTAATTAATTGTAACATGAAATCCCTATATGTCATGTTTTTTATTTTTTTCTTTTGCTACTTTCAAGATTCTCTTTTCATCTTTGGTTTTTAGCAGTTTGTCTACAATGTGCCTGGGTGAAGTATTCTTTGTGGTTATCCTACTTGAGATTCATTATAATTCTTGGATCTGAAAGTTAATATTTTTCACCAAATTTGCCAAGATTTCAACCATTTTTTTCTACAAATTTTTATTTTCTAACACCTTCTTTTTCTCCTCACCTTCCGATACCCCAATTACACATTTATTAAAACACAATACTGTCCTACAAATCTCTGAGGTTCTGTTCATTTGCTTCAGACTTTTTTCTCTGTTCTTTGGATTGGTTAATTTCCATTAATCTACCTTCAAGTTCAATGATTTTCTTCTTTCTTTTATCTCAAATATGTGGTTAAACTAATCTAGTGAATTCTTCTTTATAGTTACTGTACTTTTCAGCTGTATAATTATAAATTGATTCTTTCTTTGAAGTTTCCAATTTGTTGAGATTTATTAGTTCACTCAACAGTTTTTTAAAATTTCTTTGCCATATTTATAATAGTTGCTCAACATCTTTGTCTGCTAAATATAGTATTTGCACTTACTAGTACCTGTTATTGAGTTCCATTTTTTCCTTGATTATTACTCTTTTCTGTCCCTTTGCATTTCTAATAATTTCTGGAGACCATATGTATTACATGTAGCAATTATAAATTTTCTTTTGTTCTTTTAAGGGTAGTCAGTTTATAGATATAGTAGTCAATTAACTAGCCTGGATTCAAACTGTGAAATATGTCTTTGCACAGTGTGTAGCCACTAATGGCTCTGTTCAGTTTTATTTTGTTTAGCTGGTTCCCTAGTATTTACTATATCGGCTGAGTTAAACTTTGTGAGCAAAGTTGGGGAGAGGTTCTGCTCAAATATCTCAAGCTTCCTTCCATTTTCTGCTGCCCAAATTGTGTGTGGATTGAGAAATGCAATCTAAGGCACGGCAAATCGGCAAATGTCTCCAACCTTTCAATTCTTACAGGATTCTGGCATCTCTTGCGTGCATGTATAGTTTACCAGTCAGCCAGAGTTGCATGAAGAGTTATCATCTCAGCGCTTCTATGGTCCTTTTGCTTCTAAAATTTCACTCTTTAATTTCTAGTTTCTCTTTCGCCTAACTTGAACCAAATCTACCACCTGTATTCAATAAAGCTATGGGATTTTCCTGCCCAAATTGGGATGGGGAGACTGCCAATGCCCCCCAGCAAAAAGGTAAAAAATTTGCCATTCTAACCCAATCCAGTAACAGTTTGTCAAAACTAAACACTTCTCAAATCATTGCTTCATTTTGGTCTTCCAGTGGTTGTCTTAAGAATTTTTTGAACTTGTACCGTCTTGTACTTGTTTTCTGCAGAATGGAATTGTCCATTTTCTTTATGCCACCATTTTTGGAAGTGGAGTCCTACTAATTTAC